CAATGTGGTCTGAGAGGTGTCCGATTGAATGAATGTGGCACAATAGAATATAATGTTAGAGTGTTACCTTTCTCAGACGATTCAGATCTACACGTGCTGCAGCAGCTTTTGCGCACGCTCCTTGAGCACTGGAAACAGCATCGGCGCCATATTTGCCCAAAGCCTGCTGAAACGATAAGCGTTTTTTTGAGTGAGTCAAAAGAAAAAAATTAGAAGCACGGAGTGATCGGAAAGTGTGGGGAAAGTGCTGAACATTTATACTAAAAAAAGAAACCTCGGCCAATGAATCAGCTTTTGCGTGATGTCCTCTGACCGCAAAACAATAGACGAGAGCATCGTTGCAGGCACTGTTCACTAAGAATCCACGCCTTGCCATCTCATAAACCTCAAACATGGAGCGGAAATGCAATTTTCTCAGATTACTCGTTGTCAGTAATCATCACCAACAATTCACTAAGAAATAATCTTATCCCTTGCCTTACACCAGATCTTCTACTTGATGTGAGTTTTGTTTCTTGCCTATTTTGCTAGTCTGCGTGGAAAATTTAACATTATAAATAAGAACTGTTACCATACCATCTTTCTACATCCTTCGACATCACCTTTTCGGGCTATACCGGTAAGAAGAACTTCAAAAGTGTGCTGATCGGGTTCCAGTTTCCTAAACATAACTCTTACTGACCGCTGGAGTTGTTTTACCATGATGACTGCTTTTCAACGCCACATTTTATCACAAAAAAATTTCAACGCCACATTTTATCACAAAAAAACACAATTATCACAGAAATGCTGAGTTTGAGAAAAAAGTATGGATCTCAGGCTGCACATGAACCCGTTCCTCAGCCATTATCATGTATCTCATGTTAAACATGTAAGTGCTGTAAGGTTGTACCACAAAAGCCATCGGGTTGAGGGGTAAGGGGCGGTTCTATGATGTAATGGATTGAGCACTCGCCCGGTAAGCGTTCGATGTGGGTTCAATCTCACCTAAGGTCAAATCTCTGCCTGGAACTCCCCTCAACTTTGGTAATAACTACTATTAAAAAACAACAACAACCGGCACCTTGAAACGTACCTTTTTTCTTCCATATCCTTCAAGACTTCGAAAGAGTCGAACTGACAGTCGATTTCCAACAACGATGACAACAGTGAGTTGATACAAGAAGTGCTTATCGCTACTCCTTTAACAGGTATACTGTAACTATAGTCTACTTCGCTGCGGACAAAAGGGCCTATCAGCAGTGAGTTTGGCGTGACGCTAAACCTGTTAACCAGTAATTGTGAAGCGAGCAAGCAACAGAACTTTATCATATCGTTCCTATCACCTTCTAACAACTGATGTCGCATACCCGCTTCAGCAACTGGCAGAGAGCGGGTTTGGCGCCGTGGCATATTTATATACCTAATGCTTATTGCAGCAGGAAGGAATCAATTCACTTTCAAAGAATCTACACTTTCAGAGATTCACAACAAAATTTGCGGATCAGAACGGATCTGTCTTGTATCTGACAAAGAACTATGAGACCGTGAGAGTTATTCCAGTCGTTCGATGTGACTGGTAACCTATCGTACCTTGTGTCTACTTGTATACATAACGAGCTAAAATTCGCTGTCTGATGAGTTTGTATGCATTGGATACGCACTACCATCATTGCACGGAAACAAAGCATCGGAAGCACCGTTCGGAAGAATTGTGAGGGTCGAAACAAACGCATCTAGAAAACCGTAGGCAACATTCTTCAGAGCAGACAGCACTATGATTCAAAACAACACACCGTCATCTTCCTCCAATCTCTTCACCACGTCGAGGAATATGGTGCTTGCAGATATCCGATAATTCTTCTTGAGGCTCTCTTGAATTCTTGATAGAACCGTTTCAGGAAATCGTGACCGTTCCCTCTTAGAACGTTTTATTTATTTATTTACACGATAGGTTGACTTGGTGAGCCACTCATTTGTGGTCTTGCGTTAGAGGAAGATAGAGGGCTACACATAACTGATGACTTCACAATTAAACTTCATAATTGAACTGTTAATTCTTAGTGTAATGTATGCGTTTACACTGAGAAGTAACGACCTTTTTCTGGCGAAGCTCGTAAATGCAACGGAATTAGTCCAACTATATGAGATAAAGGAGCAGCCTGAACAACGCAACTAGCCGAGCCTATCACGAGGCGGATCCAAACAGGTGCCTATTTGGTGTAAACACGAACCTCGGGCGTAAGACCCAGGCCCAAGTGGAAACTAGGTAAAACAAGGCCACTTATTGACCCTAGCTTCATCATTCAGCTTCATATGTTTCAAGAAATCTGTTGCGAGTTGCAACTGACCACCCAGGTGGCCATGCTTCGAAATTTAACACAATGAAAAAAAAATTGTGGGGAACATTGCGTTCACTGAAGTCAGACATACAAGACGCTGCGAAGCACTTCCGTAATTGCTAGTAGAAACTTCAGAAAACCCTACCTTTTCATTCCTCGCGGGAACACCTCTGAAGTCTTCCCGATTAATCAGTCTGTTGTCGTCGCATGCACCCAATTCTGCATTCGAAGCAGAACAGTAAGGCACTAGGACGGTACTGCAGTATCGCCATGAAGCCGATGTACTGAAACTCAATCTTGGCTTCTCATATACTATAGTATTACTTAGCCTTTACTGCCCCAGGTTTCAAAGTTTTCAAAGCCAAATACGAAGTTATTTTGTTTGGAAAACCAGATGTACGGATACTTTAACCTCCTCAACAGGAATAACCACGCGCTACAAGCGATGCCACCGTATGACTGTCTCAACTTCAGCACGTGTAGCAAGGACCCTAGGCGGTTTCGTGCCACGCAGTGCGCTAGAGCAGTGAAGGAAACACAGCGAGAGAAGACCACGCATTTCCTGGCTGCCTGCGATTTTTCCTGCACTGGGGATCAGCATTAGCCGAGGGGAGTCACTATCCTGGGAAAG